CCACACTACTGGTATAATTTTTCAAGCAGCTGTCAAAAACGACGTTACGACTTTAAGGTCCAAAGTCCCAAACTAAAGCTAGGTGACTGGAGCAGTGAGAATTATGGTTAACTCCCTAAATTTGAATTGTTCCAATCAGCCGTAATTAGGGTAGTAACTTGGAGGCGTAGTTGAAGCTGTGAAGATTTCTTGCTTCAAAGCAGAGTCAGTCTGCTAAAGCAGTCTCTGAACAACTCTCCAAGTGCACAGCTGAAAAATTAGCATCACTGGCAGCTTGGTTCAAAAGTCAAATTAAAAAAAAAAAAAAAAATATGTTTAAGTGTGTTACTGGAACAATCTCTGAATAACTCTGCAAAATTAATTAGATACAAAAATTTGTGTGAATCTTAATTTGGCTTAAAAGTTTAAGTGAAAGTGTAATCACTTCTAAGTGCTGTGCTAAAAAAGCAGTCGCTAAATAACTACCCAGGGATCCAGTCACAAAAGTTTAAGTGATTTCAAGTTGGTTTAAGGGATTAAGGACAAGTGCTGTTACCTGTGTATGAAGAACTTCTCATTAGTGCCTAGCTATAAACACTCATATCTTTCCCGCTGACGCGAGGCCCGTATGCACCCTGAGACAGAATCTTATCGCTCTAGAGCGAATGCAGTACCTATCACCTGTAGTTTCCGGTTCATCCCCCCTTTTTCCTGAAAAGTAAGCCTTTATAGTAAGCTTACTGGTGCCCATCATTCATGTAACCCATATCCCGCAAACATCAAATATCCACAACACCAACAAAAAAGGAAAGAATTGGACAAGGATGCAGCAGCAACCTGCAAATTCGGAGTAACAACAGGTGAGAGGGAAAGGCTAGAGCAGCAGCTGCAACCAGCAACCAAGGGGCCAAAAGAACGTTAAGACAGCAGATGGCACCAAAGTAAGGGCTGGACGGTTATATGTAATACAGCCTACAATGAATTCTGCAAGTATTCCTACTGAGAAGAAAATTAACATCCTGATACAATTCATGGTTACAGTACTGATTAGGATACTAACTCCACCCTTCTAGCATTAGCACCACTCCTCACCAGTAACACCAAGATACAAACACAAGGAAAATACTTTAGTAATGCCAACAATTGAAACAATATTGGTACTACTGATGCAGTCTCCTGTTTTTGATCATATACAAGCATTACCTCCTCAAAAAGAATCTCTGGCATCTATCATGTCAGTGATAACGCTAAAGTTAATTAAACTGTTTACACCAGCCAGTACTATTTTTGTGCATATGGTGCATGTTTTTTTTTCTTTTTCTAAAGTCAGTCCACACCTTTTAACACATTCAAATACTGTGCACTCTTATTACAGTGTTATAATTTTTAATAAAAACTAAACATGGTATTTCTATCATGAACAGTGATTGCTGTAAATCACTGTGACATACTGCAACCTCCTCCTCCTCCCTCTGGTTACAGAAGAAAGAAAGAAACAGCATAAGCAAAGATTCTCATGCAGCATGAGAAACGCCACGAGTCAAATGACATGTCAGGGGAACTGGTAACCTAATTTAATTAGCTTTATTTACATCAGCATAAACAAAACTTACCTCAACTCATCCAGGTGACAGTTTACACATATCTCATAAGCACGATAACCCTAATATATATATCACATTTATTAGCAAGCTGCTGGGTTTCTGACCATTGTTTTTAACGGTGTTATAAAAAGGTAACAAAAGAGGAAAGATTACAGTAAACATTCTAATATTATTAAATTAACATAAAATACTTAATATATAAAAAACTCTGTGGCCTGTAGTCCGCAAGCGAACTATACCGACCAAGCAACCACTGCTTGTCAGCGAAGTTATTGCCAACTTTTGTGGATAGATGATGTCATGTGGTCAGCACAACTGATTGCCACAGCTGTTAATTTCAGTTTTCTAGACTGGCGCAGCTATTTCCTTGAAATAGCTCAATTATCCTCACTAGACTGAGTATACCCTGGTCCAGACCCACTACTTCTCAGAAAATCTGGTAGCACCGGGAATTGAACCCAGGACCTCTGGATCTGTAGCCAGGAACTCTGACGCACTAGACCACAGATTACTTTTAGATTCAAGAGCACTCTCTAGCCTTGGATTGAAACAAAAATTAGGATTCTAATACTAAACATTACTGCTATGGTACTACTACTCCTTGAAAAATTCTGGAAAGCAGTACAGAACTACGCTGGTTCATGTAAAGTATAAAAATTACCGTGAAAAGTTAAACAGTTCCATCTAGTGAGACTGGTGAAGATTTTTCTGATTTCAATTACTTATGCCCTTACATGTTTCGATCTTCAGAGACCATCATCAGAGGGACAGCTTTACATCAATATGGTTGGAAGTTACTATTACAATGTATGTTCTGAACATTAAAATATATACATATAATATTAATAATATACAATTAGGTATAAAGTCTAAAGTATATTATTATATATTATTAATATTATATGTATATATTTTAATGTTCAGAACATATATTGTAATAGTAACTTCCAACTGTATTGATGTAAAAGTGTCCTTCTGATGATGGTCTCTGAAGACCAAAATATGTAAGGGCATAAATAATTGAAATAAGAAAAATCTTCACTAGTCACACTAGACAGAACTGTTTAAATATTCATCATATTGTTAGTGTGATGAATCAGAGTGAAACAAATCAAATATAAAAATTAAAATAGCAGGTGACTGGTCAAGAAAACTACAGATGCTAAATCGGCTTCCTTTTCTGAAGGGGTGTGACAATGTTGTATAACATTCAGGATTACTGGGTTTTTAGACTTTGTCCATTGTCCAGTATTCTAAAGAACACAGTTAAGAAACTGGATCTGTTTCCAGCCTCAGGCAAACGGGTGGAAGGCACCTAGACTGTTGAATCTGTTACAAAAAGCTAACCTCAATCACTGGAGAGTGATTCACCAGATAACTATAAAAGAATGATTGTTGTAAGAAAAGGTATTACTGAACTATAATTCATGGCTTGCTAATCATACATTTAGTCAAACTGTGCTTATTCAGCCTCAGAAACCTTATGAAAGAAAGGACACAACAGTTATATCATGAATTTGTTAAAACTAAAATTCATGAAAAGCAAACATTTTGCCCACAACTTCATTACAAAAACAATAAATGTGCATCATCTTCTGAAATACAAATGCTTGTGTGCCTTAAACCAACAATGTACCACACAATACAAAGAGAAAAGATGACTTGTTCATAGTGCCATGTAATACGAGTCTATACAAAAACATTCAATAATATTGGACTTCGTATGTTAAATCAACTGCCCAATATATTAAAGAGATACCAGTAATAAACAAGTTTAAAAAGACTTTGAAAACATTCCTACTTATCATTGTTTCTATATTATAGACAAGTTTCTCTTGTTTGGGGACAAATCCTAGTTCGAATCCCTTGTAAACATATATTTCAAGAATAATTAAATTGTAATTTTAATATTAGTACATGTTATACACATAGGAATGCCTACTGCCTTGTTCTGTATCTTTTTATTATAGGAACAAGATCGAGGATACCAGGGTATTTGTGCCAGGATAGAAGGATCGGGTCTTGAGGCGTACAGCGGTGTCGTGTGTTAAATGAGTATATCAGTTCTATTATTAGAATCATTTTATTATTATCTNCTGCAACATTTGTTTATTCACTACTTAATTATAAATTTTACTTAACATTATACACTTTGACACTACATGTTTCTGCCCCAAACGACCATTTTCAGGTGTCTTGATATGTTACAAATATTTTATTAAATTATGCTAAACTGCTACACTGTGTTAGTCCGTGTTAAAATCACACGTTCTAGTTATCTTTTCAAGGTAAAACAAGATAAAATCCATTAAGTTTCTATTATACCCATGTTGTTTTGGTGCATTTTATTTCACCTCACAAGGGGTGTCGTCCATTGTTAATAAATGTATGTCTGTCCAGGGTGTTTTGTTTCAGCAGCTTGCCCCTCACATTTGTAGCCTACTTTTCGGTTATGACTGCCATATGCCCCTGGTTTGCGTGTTTCCTCCACAGCATGTGGTGTTCTCTACTAGTGCACTAAACTAAAAATTAAAATTAAGTAGTGAATAAACAAGCGTTGCAATACTGATGGACGATAAATACATGACGTTAAGTTAAAGAATTGCAACAGAATGCAAAAATACAGAATTACAAATTTATTAAATCTAACAAAACCTACTAGATATATGAAAACAGTATGGTTAAGTAACATACTCATGAGTGAACCTCTTAGTGATTTCATGTTTTGCATTCAAAAGAACAAAGTGAAAATTCTAATGTAAACAATGAACCATAATTGTTTGATGTCAATACAATACTGAATGTAACTGCTACCAAATAAATGAATTACTCACTTCCTCCACAACAAAATAAAATTCAAACTGGATAGCTTCAATATCGAAGGTATGAAGATTTCAATCAACTACAACACAAAAAGTTATATATAATACACGTCGGTACTGGTCTACCTATTATCCATAGCTTACTACTGGCTTCAAAGATCAGCTGATTAGGCCACAGATCCAATAGGCCTCAAATGCAGCTGATTATTTCTTTCTATATAACAAAATCTTAATGGGCCAAAGTACATGGCGTTTCATTTTAGTGCGCAATATTTTTAAGACTTTACGAATTGAAAAATTCGTCATGGTCGACAATGACTCATGATTAGTACGTACAGCACTTGCAACACCCATTTCTGCAGCAGGGTTGAAGCTCAATGTGCAGTTTAATTTTAATTAACTCCTAATTGTATACGGCCGTCTTTATGAATGTACCACCTATAATAACTCTAGGAATAAAGGAATTCTTAGAAATGTCTACATTTCTCAGACATTAAGAGGGTATTTTACACGACAAATTGAAATTCAAAGACGCAAAAAATAATCTAAGTACACAATTTGTGACAAAGAAACTTCAGCAAACATCAATACTTACTATTCGGGATTCATTGTAGACATTACCTATTCCCTACACACTTAAATTAAGATTTGAGACGGCACAAACCAATGTAAACCCTTACTAATCTCAGAGAACACCTAAAACTCCAAACACCAACAATGGCTGCCTTCCCAGACCGAGCAATATAATCCTATAGGGGTCTAGAGCATTGACGTAATGCCACAGTGGCAAGGAGTATGAAAACAAATTATTACAAAATATATGGGCTGTATTCAGAAAGCAAGGAAAACTTTTTCTACCATAATAAATCATTAATAAAACGCTCATTAAATTCGTCTCTGTACAATACTAATAAAATCGTTGCCTTCTATTTGAGACGATAAAGGAAATAAGTGGAATACTTTCAAGGAAGTATCTTAGTTATTATTATAAGGTTCCAGTTTAATCTTTTCGAACAATTGCCGCTATGGCGCTAGAAGCGAATATAACACGTGTTTCACTAACACTACGAGCGCGAGTATTTTAGCTTCTCGTTGTACAGGTCCCAGTTATGCATGAGTGATCTGTGTTACGAAAAATGGGACTGAAGCAATTATTTAGCCAGGTTACTTCAGTTTTCGCTTATCAAGCGCCATTTAACAGAGCTGATCCATTTAGTTCTTTGCCCTCTAATAAGTCACATGGCATGACCCACCAGCGATTCTTGCAGTCACAAAATTTTGCCACACACGCAGAAGAAATTGACCATATTTTGATGGAAATGAGACGGCATTCAAGTATACTTGATACCCGATCGTTCAGGGGAGCAGACTATGATACTGACCAGTACTGACCACTATCTGGTGGTGGCAAAAGTTAGGGAGACATGCAGTGAGTAAACAACCAAGGCATCAATTTCGTATGAAGAAGTTCAATCTCATGAAATTAAACGAGGTAGAGGCTAAAGAACGGTATCAGGTTGAGATCTCAAATAGGTTCGAAGCTTTGGAAACCTAAGACGGTGAGGTGGATATTAACAGAGCTGGGAAAACTACTAGAGAGAATATCAGAATTTCAGCCAAGGAGAGACTTGGTTATATTGAACTGAAGAAGCATAAGCCGTGGTTTGACAGAGGATGTTCAAAACTATCAGATCATGGGAAACAAGGAAAACTGCCAGCAGGCATTTCAGAAGGGGGGGGGGGGGAAGAAGGAAAAAAAAAAAAAAGGAATATCTGAGAGACAAAATTAATGAGCTTACAATGAAGAGTATGAACATAAGAATAACAACATTTAGAGACCTGTACAGAGGAATAAATGAATTTTAGAGGGGGTTACAACCTAGAAATAACTTGAATGAATGAATGCATAAGGAGTGGGCAATAATAATCTGGCCCTAGCACTGCAACCTTCAATGATCTATTGTGCTTTAAAAGTAGGATGAGATTGGTGATCTGCTTGAAGATTCCCACAACACTTTGAATAGGTGGAAGAACTACTTCTCTGTTACTGAATGTACATAGGGTCAGTGATGTTGGGGAGATAGTAATACATACAACTGAGCTGTTAGTCCGTGATTTGAATGCTTTAGAGGTTCTAATTGCTATTTCAAAATTGACGAGGTATAAACTGGTAGGTAGTGATCACATTTCAGCATAAGTGATTCAAACAGGAAGTGAAACATTACAATCTGAGATCCATAAACTCATTCATTCTGTTTGCAATAAGGAAGGATTGCCTGATCAGTGGAAGGAATCTATTATTGTACAAATTTACAAGGCGATACAATGGACTGCAATAATTATTGTGGGATATCAACTGCTGTCAACTTCATACAAAGTTTTATAAAATATCATTCTCTCAAGGTGAAGCCCATATATAGATGAAATTATTGTGAATCATAAGTGTGAGTTTTGACATAACAGATGAACTACTGGCCACATTTTTTGCATTCATCAGATAATGGAGAAAAAAACTGGAGTAGAAGAGACAGTTCAGCTATTCATAGATTTCAAGAAGCATGATTCAGTTTCTTTTTTATTGCTAGTAGGGTAGGACCAAGTCCCTTGTACTGCAGCCACTTCTGGCCTATTGTACCAGCCCAAGATGATAGGTGAGGGTGATTGTGGAGCAATTGGTGGAATGAAGACTGGCAGGGGAAACCAAAGTACTCGGAGAAATTAAGAGGAGATTGAATTTGAGTAATGCTTGCTACTTTTTAGTCCAGAACCTTTTGTCTTCTTATCTTCTGTCTAAACACATAAAAATTAGAATATACAAATATACACTTTTGCCTATCATTTTGCATGGGTGTGAAACTTAGTCTCTTGACATTAAGAGAAGAACAAAAACTGAAGGTGTCTGAGAACAGGTTGCTGAGGAGAATACCTGGCCTGAAGAGGGATGATGATATAGTAGGCTGGAGAAAACCGCACAAGGAGCTTCATAGCGTGTACTCTTCACCTAGTATAATCAGAATGATCAAGTCGAGGTGGATGCAACGGGCAGGGCATGTATCATGAATGGAGCCGTACAGGAATGCATATAGGATACTGAACGGAAAGCCAGATGGAAATGGACCTCTAGGAAGGCCTAAATGTACGTTGGAGGATAATATAGAAATTGATCTTCAAGAGACAGGATGGGGTGGTATGGACTGGGTTGATCTGGCTCAGGATAGGGAGCAGTGGAGGTCTCTTATGAACACAATAATGAGCATTCAGGTTCCATAAAATACTGGGCAATCCTTATGTAGCTACGCCACTGGTGGCTTCTCAAGGACTCAGCTCCATGGAGTTGGTTACTTTATGCTTATATGAAAAAAATTATATGGTACAAAAATTGAGTTTCTGATTTTATGTTTGTCATGCATTATTCTAAATTGAGATTCTGAACAGCAAAAATGCTTACTTAATCACATACTTTTCACAAAAGGAATTGCAGTTTCAGCTGCTTAAAATAGGTGTTCATTTTCAATAGTTTGCATCAGAACTTCTAACATATGCCACATAATTCTCAAAATTATAACTAAAGGAAATTATTTTTATAAGCCACGAGTTAGAAAAGTGGAAGAGGACAAAAATATTTATTCAGCAACATTTATCACAGGATGCTAATAATATTTTTACAAGAATCTCATCGTCCAAACTCATAGCATGAGATAAAATTGGCAACAGAGACCAGCATTTATTTTCATCCATTTTTTTCCTATAAAAATAAGAATAGTGAATTCTTAATTTCAATTAAGGTGGCATTAATCTTGTGTACATGAAACTTATTTTCTCAATTGCATGTCACAAACAGAAAGAATAAGTTTTTTACATAATGTATATCAGATATCCTGTTGAATTTCACACAGCATAAAGGAGCACATTTTGTTCTTTCTACTTACTGCATCAAAATCTGTGTGCTATCCTCATAATAGCATTGATTTTCAAGTAAGATCTTGCACCATGGAAGGAGCAGTAGGACATGAGCAGATAAAAGAAAGTTTGATTTGAGGTTCTCACAGTGGTGACTATGAATATTTCTATCTTCTGGGATGTAACACCAATGAAACTCTACCATGTTCCCAGGAAATGCCAGATGACTTTCACTAGGCTATATGAGTTATATCCCAAGAGACAGAACATTTCATGTAAAAGAAACTTAATTTGGACACATACAGTATTGTTTCTTGGGGATATAATTATTTACATAACAATGCCTTTTTATTTCATTCCTGTATCTGTGGTGATAACAGCAGAGCTTAGAGCATTATGAAACATAATAGAGTACACAATTTTAAAGCCAAGATTCAGTAGCAACATGTTGATCAATGAAGGTCAATTGCAGGAAGACAAAGAAAAAAAATACAAGTAATCTATGTTATTTTATCTGTTAATTTTTAAACTAATGTTGTACAAATGAAATCTCATATTAAATGTATAATAATAATCTCCATTCACTTAAAAACTTTACACAAAGTGATTATGATTGATTATTAACAACATTTCATAAACTTCGAAACAAATGATCTGTCTCTAATAACTATGTGTCAGACTTGATATTGTACCATAAGCTAGAGGTAAAATCAATTCTGTGCCTTTCCAGCAGGCCATCAAGTGTTACAGGAGATCGGACATTAGGCTCCATAATTTTCTGACTTTGGTAATGGTGGAGGCTCACAATCCCAACAGCTTTCAGCCCCAACAAGGCAGGAAAGTATAAACAAACTGAACAATTAAAATAACAACAGAAAAATCACATGGGATGTTACCAATGTATGTAACATGACTAGAAAACACTTTATGTCTGGGTTATAACAAAGTATCAGGCCATGAAACCTGGAAGAACCTGTTATCTTACAGACTGCAAACTGTATTCTCATACAATAACATTCTTTCTCATTTACACATTCATATTATCCATCTACAGTACTTCAGTATGTGTAATGTAATGCATTCTACAATGATTTAGGAAGCACAATATGAAACTTTCATACACCAATCAGACATAACATCTTAAGGCACTCAGGTATAAACTTCATCGCATTAAAAACAACTTCTACTTAAATATAACATAAACATATTCACTCAAATAATTTCATTATACATTCTATTCTTATTTTAAATGTAATTACTGAATAAATTAAAAAAGATTCAAGATGCAAAATAACAAATACAATAGAGAATAAAATGCATACCTGTTCCAGCAGGCTCATTATTTCAGTAACACTGGCTACTTTATTAGACTTCCAAAACTTACTAAATGTACTCAACCATGACTCTTGCACAAACATAGAGAGCAATTCACAAATATATAAACTACATAACATTACAGATTAAAAAGGAACTCTTGAATAGCATATTTTACAAACTTCATTACATATATACATTTCATAAGTTTTTCTTTATGGTATCTATATTATCACTCAGTAGATTCACGTCATTGGCACAGCTCAACAGCTGTTGTGTCCCATTTAATTTCAGTGCCACCTCATTTTCCTGGACCTTCCTAACGGTATATTCTAAAGCAAAGCTGAAAAGGAGTGGCGATAAAGCATCTACTTGCTATAGACCATTCTGGATTGGAAATTTATCACACAAATGTTAACTATACAGACTTTACTATACATTTTGTTTAAATATATTTTAATCAGCCTAACTAGTTTCATAAAATGAATCTTAACACCATACAGTGTATAATCTGCCCTTCTTATGAACCTTAATTT